CCCCAAAACCCCAAAACCCCAAAACCCCAAAACCCCACTATGTCGAAACTATATTGAAATAATTATAATAAGAGGAATCTAAACATTCCAATATGAGTTACATTCTTGGTTAAGAGATTAGAGTGATTTGATTTATTCATATTCAAGCTCCTCTCCCTCAACTCCAAGAAAAGATTCGTCCCACTTTAGCCTAGCTCCAAGCAATGTGGTCTCCTTAACGAGATCGTAGCAGATTTTCTCGTTTACAACAGAGTCTTTTTGGTAGTCAGGGTGGTTTAAAACGAAATCTCTCATGTAACGGGCTCCAGTTTTTACTTCTCCTCTACCTCTCTGAGCTAGGAACTTGAAAATAACGTTGTAGAATTTCAAGTCTTCTTCACTGAACTTGTTTAGAGCCATATACTCATCTATCAGTGGTAGAAGCCCTTTATATGAGTATTCCTCGCTTCCTTCGAGGATTTCAGCTATAGTCATTTCTGCAAAGTTAGAAGGATCAAAGTTGTTTTGGTCTGGCTCTCCGAAGAAGGCCCAGTTATTATCTTTAGCTGGGTTCTTAGTATAATCAGATCCTTCCTTGACAATGTTGGTTCTCCACCAGAACTTTTGCTTAGTCACAGCGTCAATTTCGTGAGCTCTCTCCATATTAATATCTGAGAGAGAAATTGGAAGTGAAAAGTCAACATCGAAGTCGTTGATCACCTTAGTCAGCAAGTTTAGCAAAGCAACGTAAGCTCCATTCTCAAAATCAGTGGTTTGGATATCGACTGGCCTGAACTCAACTCTCCATCCTATAGGAGAGTCGTAGGATGGAGGAGGCTTGAACCTCACAGAGTTCCAATTTGTACTGTTAAGATTCTCAAAGTGTTCTGTACTATCTGGATCAAATTCCAGACGGTCTTCGAAAATCACAAGAGAGTCATGAGAGAACAAAGAAGCAAAGTGATAAGCGAGCCTATCAGTCATTCCTGAATCCTTTAGTTTATCAAACCATTCTTGGTTGATTTTTAGTTTGTATCCATCATTAATACCATCTCCACAGAAGTAAGGGTGGTCTGAGAGATAATGGTTCATCCCGGCATATCTTGATTTTGGCATATAGTTATGATGGTCTGGAGATAGTTCTTCATCTTTTCTTGAGTCAACAGAGCTAGCGATAATATTCCATCTGAAATCCCAGTTTGCTAGCTGGCCTTTATAAATTGGAGCAGAGGCTCCTAGAGCACCTACGATAGGTCCTAAAGGAATGAAGCAATCATGCATGTATTTTGCATGCTCTATATTTTGAGCTTCAAAAGTAATTTGAACGCAAGATGCTCCCATTCCAAAGTGTTGTGAATCCATATGAATTTCACCTGGGGTCTTGTGCCCATCGATTTTACCTTCACCGGTATTTTCATCAGGGTAGAGAGGTACTCTGATATCAACTTTCTTGCCTCTTCTTTCTCTAACTGAGCTCATCATAGCTGGGAATCTTGGGTGAGGGTTTGTCATATCATCTAGTATATACTCACTATTAGAAGCTTTGTTATACTCTTCATAATCTGTGACATCATACAATTTATCATCTTCAGTGTGGAAGAAGTCACCAGCACCAAGGTTTGGCCAGCTTGAAAGAGATGACATAATCATTCCGGTCATGAAAATCTCATCATTGACAATTTTTCTTCTTCTGTGAAGAGACTTAAATGCCTCAATAGGACCTTTGGCATCATAAATAGTATAAGGTTTTGCTGGGACGGCCTCAACCATCCAAGAACCGAACTCAGCTTGGTAGTCGAACTCATCTTGCTCAATATCTTTGAGTATTTCGATGACTTTCTTATATCCTTCAACAACAATCTTAGCTTTCTTGTCTTTATGGTCAAGTTTGCCTACATGGTATTCAAGTTCTTCACCCCATTTAAGGTCTTCCAATTTCTTGTCCAAATGCTTAAAGGTATCATAAAGTTTAATTGCTTGGAGGACACCGTAGAGTTTGATTTGGTCTTGAGCTTTTTCCATTTCATCCCAAGTTAGTGCGTTTGAAATTACACTTAAAAATCCCATTTCGATTTATTAATAAAGTTTAAAACCTTGTAAAAGTTGGAGATATTATTATTATTCAAAAGTCCACTTATTTATAGGGGTTTTGGGGTTTTGGGGTTTTGGGGTTTTGGGGTTTTGGGG